GGGGCTTCTCACTAGGCAAGGGGGAGTTCTCATTAGCGGGGGGAGTTCTCACTATGCAGCGGTGAGTTCTCACTAGGCAAGGGGGAGTTCTCACTAGGTGGGGGATGTTCTCACTAGGCAAGGGGGGTTCCCACTAGGCAAGGGGGAGTTCTCATTAGCAGGGGGGAGTTCTCACTAGGCAGCGGTGAGTTCTCATTAGGCGGGGGGAGTTCTCACTCAGCAGCGGTGAGTTCTCACTAGGCAGCGGTGAGTTCTCACTAGGCAGGGGGGAGTTCTCATTAGGCAGCTGCAAGTTGCCATTTAAGCAGAATCATTGCTTGTCAAATGCTTTGTTGATAGCCTTCCCCACCTCGTTAATATTCATCTTTCAATGTTACTAACTTCCCAAAACAAGCTACGTGGCAATAATTCATAGCAGGTCTCCAGCAGATTCCACTTGCTGGTTACTCTTAACAACCTCCATGTTGTATATGACCAAAGTGCAGCTCAGGATATGATCCATGGCCATCAGCGACTTTTAATTCTTATCCAGGGACATTGGCATCCACTAGGTGACCATCATGGCACCTCTCCATTACACGTGCAGGCCACTCAGGCAGATTGTATTGCAGGATACGTCTGCAACTAGAACACACAGGCTGCAGCAGGGAGACTTTGTGCATATGAACAAGCAAACAGATCAAGGATTAGAGCACGCTGCATCTCAACTGCTTGTCATCTTAGTGCCAAACTACATGGTTATAACTTCCAAGCCTTGCATTGTCTTGCCATGCTGAACCTGTTAACATGTTGGTGCTTCAGTCAGTGCCAAAAAGCTAACTTTACTGCCATACTGAGGTGCTCCTTAGCACAGACACACAGGCATGCTGCTGCTCTATTGGGATCTGTCCAATGTCAAAAATCACACGACATCAGGTTATAGTCTAACAGGTATATTTGAAAACACAAGCTTTCAGAGCTTTGCTCCTTCCTCAGGTGTTAGTGAGAGAGGTAGTATCCGACACAGAATTTATAAGTAAAAGATCAAAGGGTCACACCACTGATGAGGGTGTATTAAACAAACCTAAGATGCTGTTAAATCTTCAATCAGTTAGAAGGTGTATATGTAAATCCCCAAATTCCTTTCATCTCACTGTCCTGAGAGAACTGAAGGTTTTATCAGTGTAAGGAAGAGTTGACATTTAAGGTCAGACAACGCATGTTAGGTGTGCGGCCTTGCTTAGAATCTGTTTGTGTTTTGGTTTAGAGTCAGACTGATTTTATTTCTAAAGTAGGAATTTATTAAAAAACCGCATTGACTGATTGTCCATAAATTGCGTGTTTTTTGAACAAGATAGAATGTATCTGCAAATACAAATTCACACCATAGATTTATGCGTGTATGTTTGCGTGGTTGTGAGAGAGACAGAGAGAGATGGTGTGAGTGAGTGAGTGTGTGTGTGTGTCTGTTTGTGTGTGTGCGCACATGCATGTGTGTGTGTGAGAGAGAGTGTGTGTGTGAGGGAGAGACAGAATGTGTGTATGTGTGAGGGAGAGAGAGAGTGCGAGTGTTTGAGAGACAGTGGGCGTATGAGAGAGAATCTGCATGTGTGTGTTTGTGTGTGTGTGTTTGTGTGAGTGAGTATGTATGTACGTGTGTGTATGTGAGAGTGTTTTGTGTGGTGGGGTCACATGTAGTGCAACATAAACCCAAGATCCCAGTTAAGGCATATTCCATTCCTCATCGATCACCAGTTCCGACATGCCACAGCAAAAAAACCATAATGGCCTCTTATGAAGACAGGCACGGGATACATCTGATAGGGTACCCTTCATCATCCAGTACTTCCCGGGAGCAGAGAAACTACACCATGTTCTTCGCAGCCTTCAACACATTATCAATGATGATGAGCTCCTTGCCAAAATCTTCTCCATGCCTCCACTTCTCATCTTCAAACAACCACCAAACCTTAAACAGACCATTATTCGCAGCAAACTACCCAGCCTTCAGCACAACATAGACCACGACACCACACAACCCTGTCATGGCAACCTCTGCAAGACATGTCAGATCATCGACATGGGCACTACCATCACATGTGGGAACACCACCCACCACATAAACGACAGATACTCATGTGACTTGGCCAAAGTTGCCTATCTCATATGCTGTAAGCAAGGATGCCCCGAGGCATGGCATACTGGTGAAACCATGTAGTCGCTACGACAATGGATGGATGGACACCGCACAATAATCACCAAACAGGGACAGTGAGATGAAAGGAATTCGGGGATTTACATATATATATTAATCAATTAACACCTTCTAACTGATTAAAGATTTAACAGCATCTTAGGTTTGTTTAATACATCCTCATCAGTGGTGTTAACCTTTGATCTTTTACTTATAAATTCTGTTTTGGATACTACCTCTCTAACTAACACCTGAACAAGGAGCGAAGCTCCGAAAGCTTGAGTTTTTAAATAAACCTGTTGGGACTATAACCTAATGTCGTGTGATTTCTGACCTTATCCATCCTAGTCCAACTCCGTCACCTCCACATCAGCGATCTATGCAGCAGTGGATGAGGGGACATGTTGATGAGCGGCACACCAGATGTTGAAAATTGGTGGGGACTAGCCCTTGGTCCAGTTAAGGAGGGGCCCATTATTGGTCGGGGTCAGTCACAAATGCAGTCCGCACACAGTCAAGGGTCTTTGCTACGTTGAGTTGTCAACTTGGGTTGCTCACAGTGAGGGGATCTGTCCAACTACAATCCAGACACTGACCAGCAGCCCATCATGTAGGGCCAGTATGAACAATCCGGGGAATCCCATACCCTCCACTGGGATTCAAATGGCCAGGGCTCTGCTCAGTCTTGTCTAGCAGCTGCTCAGGTCTGGGATGAATACAGTCCTCAGGGCTCATCATCAAACTTTCAAAAGTGCAAATGGGACAGTGGGGGAATGACTGCCAGAAGGGGGGACAGTCAAGGCTGGGAGGAAGAAGGGTGGTTGGTTGGTGGGTGGGTGGGGGTTGAGGAACTTGCAGAGATGGGGACCACAGTGGGTTGAATAGGGGAGGGAGTATGTGAACAGCATTGGAGAGCATGGCAGCCAATGGGAGGGGGTGTTAGTGCTGTGACCACCACTGTGACTGTTACAAGGAGAGGACAGAGGAGCAGGGTAAGCACATCATTAAATGGGTAATGCCATGGTTCATGGGACACGGAGACCAGTTGGTGGTGAAATTCAATGTGATGGCTCTCCACATAGTGCAAAGTGGGTGGAAGTGTGCTGTTAGCATAGTGCAGGTCAAAGCAGCCATGAGAGTTTTGAGGGAGGTACCTGGTGACCAGGTAGAATTCGGTGCTGCTAGTGTATTCCCTGCCATCGCTCAGAGCGAAGTACACTGAAAAAATGGCTGCAACAGTGCCCGAGGTGGATGGAGTCAGTCTCAGTTTGATAAAACTGAATATTATAAAACACTACTGTGAGGAGTGTAAGGATATTGGGGAGAAATGACATTGTCCATGATAGAGGTGCGCTGCCTGGGCTGTTACAAATCAGACACAACCTCATTGACACCCCCTTCCAATAGCTGAGAACTGGGTACAGCAGATCATGGTGGCCCGCAAAATGGTATTGATGCTGAAATCTGGTTTGCATTGTGGCAGTGAATTTCATCCTCTATTCGTTTTGTTTGTGTTCACGTTTACTGTCTGTAAATAAAAGTTCTCATTCATGTTTGGTTTTTGACTCATCACCTGCCTGTATGTGATATCACCCTCCTGGACAAATGACAAGATGTGGGTCTACAGTGGGCATCGGGAATAGAGCCATGCTGACTTTGAGGGTGTCCAAGTGGATATAGACATGGATGAGCATAGTGTGTGGTGTGATGGTTAAACAGCAATGAGGACAAGAGACTGGGGTTACATATGCGAGGATTGTCAGCCATGCCATATGTGCTGTGGGCAGTATGGCTGCTGTGCCATGATGTTGCCGATGAGGGACATTGCTGGATCGCCTACATGTGATCAGGTGCACAGCAGCCTTTCAAAGATGGTGCAGGCACCAGGGTTGCCAGTCTTTTAGCAGATACTCACTGAGTGGCAAATTGTTCCAGGTATGGTGCCTGGTAAGATGGAGTTGGAATCGGACATGACAGATGCCATAGGGAAGTGGTGAGCAGTCAATGTAGTGAGTTTTCTAGTATACAGTGAGAATCTTCACTGGACCTCACAGCAGAAATCCCTCCAGAAAACTTTGTGCGACTTGGACTTAGCCAGAGAAAAAGTAAGATTCGGCCGATGATTCTAAACTAAAAACTGGAAATACGCAAGTAATCAAGAATCGACAAAGACAAAACAGCAGGTGAATCCTACTTCAGTAACATTCTTACCCTTCCAAACAAATATCTTTCTGTCTGCTCCATTGTCCAGTATAAAACACTCTTCAGTCAAGAGCAAGTCACATGAGAATGGGTTTTCAGCTGATACCAATGACACTTTCATTGAACCACTGGCATCTGAGACCTGAAGGAAGAAATGGTATAAAAGTTATAACTACCAGCACAGAGAAAAGTGGACATCTCTCTGTGCTGATTATATAGGATTCTGACTCTATGGCATGTTAGCTCCATTGTGTTAGCTCAATTTGGCTATTATCTGTTGTGAGCCCTGTCTGGTGATACGTTACATAACTGTGAAGGAAATCCATGAAGAAACCAATCCCTCTCACATAATTTTTACTCCTACTTATGACCTTTCCAGTCAGAGTCAGCAGATTGCAACTGCAGCAGGAATCCCAACTGTTTTTAATCTTGTCATCTGAATTTCCGAACTCAGATAGCCATTTTGGCTAAGGTCACCGAATTTAGCACAAATCTTCAATCTACTTCTGAATCTTCACAGTTGTGTAACTCATGGTCACATATTGCATGCATTTTCTCATTAAACAAGTAGTGGTATCTCCAATTACAGTGGAGGCCATAAAGATAGTGTTGCTGATAGTTTATTTATCAAGGAAATTTCCTGATTCAACGATGAGACGTTACACCTCCCCCACTGCTGTTAAACAAAGTACACCATTTTTCAATAACTATTTAAAAAAAAAGCTCATTATTATAATCCTGTATAATACCCACTATTTCTATCACAATGTACTTCAGTAAAAAGGCAGGAATGGGCTTGCTATGAAATAATCGTTGGATACTTTAAATAAAGCTGTTCATGCTGAACTCTAACAGTCAGCAGGACTAATGTTTGCTCACATAGATACTAAAATTCAAATTCAAAACATATTTTTCTCTATCATTAATTAAAATTTATTTTAATTATATAATTAATTCCAAGTGGTTGTATGTCCATCTAATTAAGGAGTAATCCATTTATGTTTTGTTATCACTAAGTATTATTATCACATAAACTTTGAATTTGGGAATGAAATTGGTTTTTGGTGGTAATGTAAACAAGTGATAGTGATTTGGCAGTTTCACATCGACTGACCTCCGTGGAAAGTAAAACTGGAAAGTTGAATGGGCTGGCAGTTCGCTATCACTGGTTCAGTGACTATGTAGAAGATGAATTTCATTCTGAAATACTGCCACGATTCTGGGCTGGGGAAGAAGGGGTGGAGTCAAGTAGTCTGGCATCTCTACTGGTAACAGTGTTGACGGTTCTTTCTAAGCTGTTTACATAATCATTCCTCTCTATTCACTCACACCGGGAGACTGAAATTTCTGATATAAATATGCTGAATGTTATAATCACTCGTTCTCTGCTGCTAACTGCAATCATTTGAAATATGGTTTTGAAAATGGCTGTTCGCCAAAATACCTATCAGGAACATTTTGACGAAACATTGTAAAGGTAAGAATAAGCACTGCAGTAAATGTAGAATACCATGTAAAGCTTTGCCATTTTTCTGTTCGATACGTCTGCAACATGATCTTCATCATCATCTCCTACACTCAGTTCTGGCTTGCAACCAAGAACCTACAAAAGAGAAAGAAACACTATTTTTAACAAGATATTTCTAAATTTAGAACAGTGTAGATTATCTGCAGAATAATTGTTCCAAGACAGTTAACTACAGGATGTGGTTTTTTTTTTCTGAAGTATTACTTATAGAGGAGAGGTGGAATGCTAGTTAAAAATAAAACAACATCTGGCATAACAGCCCACAAGTGGCCAGTTTGAGAGATAGAGAAATCTGACGACTCTACCAATGCAAGTTGGCAGTTGCAGCTTGGTCCTGGAAAAGGAGGTAATGAAATTGAACAGCTGGGGGATGAAATTGAAGGGTTGGGGGTGCACCTAGGCTGGCAGCAGCTTGTAGTTAGTTAAAACTAGGAGGAGCATTGCAGCTCCTGGCTTACTTCAAGAATTTATTCCCAATTGGAGCTGTCAAGCAAACTGTGATCTGACAGAAACTCATATAATGATAGTTGTAAAATTAGACCTGCAGCATATTTATAACCCTCAGGTATATGCCAACAGACACAGTGCAATAGTCCAGGGTCCATCAACAATAGGAGTTTTAATTGAATTGGCAGCTTGACAGTTCCCTTTAAATGCTATCTTGACAGTTCTCTTGACAATACCAATGCACTTAGCAGCTTCAATACACCTTTTATACACACAAAGTATGCCCTTTACACAAAAAGCATGACAAATCCAACGCGGCCAATTACCACCGCATCAATCATCAGTAAAGTGAGGGAAGGATGTCATCAACAGTGCTATCAAGCAGCACCAGCTCAGCAATAATCTGCTCAGTGATGCCCAGTTTGGGTTCTGCCAGGGCCACTCAGTTCCTCTCGTTACAGCCTTGGGTCAAACATGGACAAAAGAGCTGAATTCCAAAGGTGAGGTGAGAGTGGCAGCCCTTGATATCCAGGCTGCATTCAACTGAGCGTGACATCAAGCAGCCCTAGCAAAACTGGAATCAATGGTTATCAGAGGCAAACTCTCTGGTGGTTGGAGTCATACCTGATGGTCATCGTTGTTGGAGGTCGATCATCTCAGCTCGAGGACGTCTCTGCAGGAGTTCCTCAGGGTAGTGTCCTCGGCCAAACCATCTTCAGTTGCTTCATCAATGACCTTCCCTCCATCATAAGGTCAGAATTGGGGATGTTCGCCGATGATTGCACAATGTTCAGCACCATTCATGTCTCCTCAGATACTGAAACAGCCCGTGTTCAAACACAACAAGATCTGGACAATATCCAGGCTTGGGCTGACAAGTGGCAAGTGACATTCACGCCACACAAATGCCAGGCTATGACCATCACCAATAAGAGACAATCTAACCACTGCCCCTTGACATTCAATGGTGTTACTATCACTGAATCCCCCACTATCAACATCCTGGGGTTACCATTGACCAGAAACTCAACTGGACTCACCACATAAACACAGTGGCTGCAACAACAAACCAGAAGTTAGGAATACTGCGGTGAGTAACTCACCTCCTGACTCCTCAAAGCCTGTCCACCATCTACAAGGCACAAGTCAGGAGTGTGATGGAACACTCCCAGCTTGCCTGGATGAGTGAAGCCCCAACAACATCCAAGAAGCTTGACACCATCCAGGACAAAGCAGCCCGCTTGACTGGCATTACATCCACAATCATACACTCTCTCTACCATCGACACTCAGTAGCAGCAGTGTGTACTATCTACAAGATGCACTGCAGAAATTTACCAAAGATCCTTATACAGCACCTTCCAAACCCACGATCACTTCCATCTAGAAAGACAAGGGCAGCAGACATATGGGAAGACCATCACTTCCAAGTTCCCCTCCAAGCCACCCACCATCCTGACTTGGAAATATATTGCCATTCCTTCACTGGGTCAAGATCCTGGAATTCCCTCCTGAATGGCATTGTGGGTCAACCTACAGCAGATGGGCTGCGTGGTTCAAGAAGACAGCTCACCACCACCTTCTCAAGGGCAGCTAGGAATGGGCATGAAATGTTGGCCAGCCAGTGACACCCACATCTCACAAATGAATAGAAAAAAAATTGCACAACTTCTTGCCAAAGGGTAACTTACCTCTCTGTAAGGATACCTTATCTCTCCCTCAGTTGTCCCAAGACCAGATCTAAAAAGAACATCTGACCTCCAAACAATTCCTGCAGCTTTAGCCCCACCTTGCCCTACCAGATCTAAGGTGCACAAAGTTGTGTTTTTGACAACCAACTTGCAAAAATCAGATGACCTTTAGGCAATGCACATTAACATAGACAGTTGCCTCCATGAATCATGGATGCACAAATTAGATAGAACCTGCTCCTTTCTACTCTCACCCTGTGAAAATAGTAGATGCCCATGGATGGGACTTCCAGATTGAAGCGTCTGTTGCTATTTTCATAATGATAGACTATCCCTCCAACTGCGCGACAAGTCAGGTCTAGCGATGTATGTCTGCTGTCACCTTTTATGCTTGGTTAAGGACTTTGAGAACTTTCTTCCTCACTCCTTGCAAAGTGATTAAAAAACACCTACATATCATTCCTCTTCCCCAGTTCACTTAAGTTCAGGCACCTCTGAATCAGCTCCAAGTTGTGAAATGGTTCTCTATCCTTTGCATTTACTTTTTCCTAAAATCTCTGGGCCGTTAAACACTAATGTAGATTATCAACTCATCAACATTTCCTGGATCCATGTTGTATTAGTTATTCTTTACAACCACTCACTTTTTTTTATCTGAGAGCTGTTGCACCATCTTAGTTTCTCAATTAAAAGAACATGAACTTCTGTCAAAATCTCCTGCTAATGGTATGGTTTTTGCTGGTATCTCTTCATTGTGGGAATGTAGACATGAGTCTATGTCTCTCCATAATGTTAAAGAGCATTACTTAGTACTAACATTCTGCACACCATCCTGTTTCAGTGCAAGCTGTTCAGCAACATATTTTACAAGGGTGATAACAGTTTTATAACACCCTTATTACATAAATTAAACAGAAGTCCAACACCAGCTTGATTCCATAACAGATTTATACAGTTATTGGCTCAGAGGTTTAAAAGACCACACACACAGGAAAGTACATCAAAGGATGCCTGCTACTGAAGTCATTTTTTTTAAGTGCAAGAACTATTATATTGATCTTCAACAATGGGAGAACAAAGAGGAAAAAAATACCTTGCCTCAGGTGTTAATACATCTATGTACCATCTTTTGCGCTGATCATTTTCAGTGATTTACGGTGTTTTATGGGACAGGGAGAACATTCCTACTTGAATATCCAAATTCAAATCCAACCTGAGGACTTGATGCCAATGAACATGTGCTATGAGTAACCAAACTTGTTGATTAAGGGTCTGAAAATTCCTCTATTGCACGAATGGCAGATGATGAGAGCAAGATAGTCTCTGAGACAGCCAGAACAACATGGTTGCTGCAGCGCAACAGCCTCCCCATGTTAACAAAAACACCACATGCAGCCTCTTCCTATTGTTCTGAGGGAATACTCCATTCATCACATGTTTTCAATGAGATGAAAAAATAGTGTGGTGATTATTCTTCCCTGCAACTAAAATTCAATGAAAAGTGCCACGCAAATGGTTCTTCAATTGTGAACTATTCTTTATGAAAATAAATTAGATCACAATTTTCTTTTTCAACACTTCTCTGATACTAGAAATGAAATGTTTATTTTTTTTTCTAAGATTCCTATGATCTAGTGTTTAAACAAACATTCAGGTCGACCTGTGGGGGTAAACACCATCATGGGATAGCTCTAAGAGTGATTCCTCACTGGTATTAAAGGATCAGTTGATTCATGTGATTTTTACAGTTTTGAAACTACATAATCTTCATTTTGACCAAACACTATAAATTAACTCCTTGTCACTTCCCATACATTTTAAAAAAATTTTCTCATCATTTATCTATTTTTCTATTCTGATGATAGGTGACACCTAAAACTCTGATCTTTCTTTATCATTCACAGATGTTGACAGATAGGCAGTGCACTTCTAGAATGTTCTGTTTAATGTTTCCAGTTTCTATCATAGGTGTTTGTATGTATGATTTTTTAAATAACCAACATAATGTGAACGATGGTTAGTGGATTGTCATCAATTATATCTATCTTTATTAGGCTTAGCTTGCAAAGGACCTCGCTGAGAGTCTGCCAAAAAGTGTGAGACTGAATAAAGAGCCCTAAATGAAGTTATAAATATTACTGTAGAGAGCAGTATGCTTGCTAATCAACCACTGAATTTCTAACAAACTAAGCAAAGTCCTTTTTTTGTTAAAAGATATGTGCAAAAATGGAATATGGATACAGAAATGTTCACAAGTGCTTTGAAAGTAATTCATTACAAGTGAGCAGATTGGAATCCTTCAAGCTATGTTAGTTATGCCCATCACCATTTTCCACATTTCCCAATTTTAAATTAAATTTGTAGCATAACAGGAAGCAATGGCATGTGACAAATGATGAAAAATGAGACATTGAGGGAACTTATTGCAGACGAGGAAGCAATAGTTTACATGCTGCATAATAACTTAGTAAATTTGTAGCCTGAGTAATTTTGAAATATCTAACAGTCATATCTGCTGTTTTCTCCTATGTAAATGATGCTAAGTGTTACCTGTACTATAGTGCCAATATCTGTCATAACATGCAGTGGAGATTTCAGTGTGGACTTTTTAGGCACGATAGAAATTTCTAACATTAAAGGATCCACTGTTAAGGAGGCTTTAGTTCTAAGTTACAAGCTGCATTCATGGCTAGTTTCAGATCTCCTGGGAAGCAGTTACAGTTGGGGGAGTTATAGAACAAGGACCTAATAAAGAACCAATGCCCCTAAACACACAAGCACAGGCACCACTGTAAACTCATGGATATTGCAAGGAATTCCACACATCGTAATGAGATACACTTTATCAAAAAGGACTATATGGGAACAACTGATTGATTCAGATACCAGTGATGTTTCTGTCTCGTTGTGTGTCCCAAGAGGAGTCTATAACAATTGCACAATGACACTTTTTACATACAAGGTCCAAACATAGCTCATGACAAATAATGCATCAGATTTTCCGTAACATCTAAAATCTTCTTGTGGGCTCTATGGCCACCCACAAGTACTACTTCCTCTAATGGAGTGATGAGGTGGAGAAATGACACATAACAATAAAGCACGTATACACATTCAATGTGGAAGCATTCAAAACACAAAACCCATATTCAGAAGAGCAACAATTGAAATTCACCATTACCAATGCACAAAAACAGAAATTGCAATTGAAACTTAATAGGTCTAGCAGCATCTGTGGGAAGAAAGCAGAGTTAATGTTTTGAGTCTCGTGACTCTTGATCAGAAATGTTAGCA